TTCCTAATGTAGTACAGGCCGCATATTATTATTTCCGCGTGACGAAGTTGACCCTTCCTTTGCGGGTAATTGCATGTGTTAGGCATCAGGTATGCCCCCCGCCCTCCCCCTCCCCGTACTATCCTGCTTATGACTGAGGCAAAGCCTCACACAAAAACAAAAAAAGGATAGCCAATGCCTAAAAAGTAAATCGGTACCTCGCATGCTCCGTTTAGTTCAATCAGCGGCGTTTTTAGTCAGGTTAGTTTTAATTCTTGTGAAGATCAAGATGAAAATCACATTACATAGCATCGGCTGTAGTCTCTTTTCCTCCTCTATGCGTTAATTGTCCGCCGTAGGCGCTAGCTGCGAGCTGATTGGCTATGGGCAAGCACACCGCAGCATCATCGTCTCGTGTTATTTCCGGCTGCGATACGGCTCTTTAACGGTAAAAGATAAAAGCAGATGGCTGGCTAATTTTTGTTTTTTTGTGACCAAGGTATCTTTTTGTGCAACGCTCAGTTACATCATATGCCGAGAGTCCATAAGTTTTATTACGGGCGCGAAAGGCGAAGCACTGGCAGCCCTTCAAGTTATGAAGCATTGCTCTTTACCGTCCGACTTTGTTAGATGATCACACATTGTGTAGACCTGTAATGACCAATCTGGGAGAGGCTGTCGGGATGCCTCTCGCCCCTTCCGATGATCTGCGCTACCGGCATCAGTTTAGGTTTATGAAGTTCCTGAATCGAGCGGAAATAATTCTAGCGACACGATGCATACTCAATGCAATTGATTCCATCAATAGTTGTGTCGAAAGAAACCAAGTGAAACGTTCGAAGGCAAAGCAAGTACCATGCATTAATTACCGACAACGCGAATACAACTCACGATGTGGCACTTCACCCACTTGCTCTTGAAGCATCTCCGAAATTTCCGGTGGATTGTGATTCCACTAAGGATAGCTGAACCTGAAGCCTGTGTGCACCTGAACGGCAGCGTGAACTTGCACTCCATGTCAGACCGCTAACGCATGGCGTTGCTCCAAACGTTTGCGCTGTGAAATTGTGCGCAAACTGCACTCTCTTAACATGAGATGAATGAGAAAAAAGTATGCTGTGCTGTACTGTACCCCGTGTTTTCTGGAGTTTTTATAACGTCATGTGGTTACATCATGACCGTAATTGATGATCTCATCAGCTCTCAAGACCACTCATGCTCTTCGTCCTATCCTGGACATGAGATCTACTCATTCAGTGGGGCTCCTACATCGTGCGCTTAGTGAATCAGCTTACAAATCGCAGCAGTTTGTTTGGATGAAAAGTTTACATCATGCTCCATATTTCAAATAACTCATTGTGACAGTGCTTACTAAGCGTTGAAGGATGTGCCTGATTTGCAACATCTGACAGCTTCCCCACCATTGTCACTTAACAAGCCAGTCACCCCCAGTGCTGACAAGGGACAATCCCGAACCACGATGCGAGAATTGACAGCACTAGGTCCACGTGGCACCTACGCGTGCGAACGCGTCCACCGACGGGCATCAAGTGTCTCCAGGCACCAATGACCATTGGCACATGACTGGGTGTTGCGAGTGCACTGATGTGGCACCAGGATGAAGTGCACCACAGAGCGCACCATTCGCTCCGAGGACTCCATTAGCGGACGGCCTGCCGCGGTGGCCGTGACGGAATTCATCGACAGCGGAAGTGACCACATCCGCCGCCATTTCCGGAGTCTGAGGGCTGGACTGACGGCGGCGTTCCAGCGCTGACACCAATTAGCAAATGCGTCCGGCCTGCGGACCGTGTCGTCACCGGCGCCGGCTGTCGGAACGCCATTGATCAGTCTTCGGCTGTCGCGGGCCGGATGGGCAGCGCAGAGCGGCGGGCAGAGGCGGTCGACTCACGTGCTCTCGTGAATGACCATGTCAGCGCTCGTTTACCGCCTGGTGGCCCGCACTGCCAGCTGGGTCGCCGCCGTGGTTATGCGCTCAACCAGCGCGCTCAAAAATGAGATCTGGATAGGTTTGGGTCGAGTCAGTCGTATCGAAAATTGCTATTGTACGCTCTGGGCGCGATTGGGAAGTTCACTTCAGTATATTAGGATTTCCCGACTGCTGCCAGGCGACACACTGGCGCGTTCATGCCTCTGATGGGTCCAGCTGTCAGTGACACACCAGCAGCACGCTGCTCAGGACATGGCCGTCACTCAGCTGGGTGGGGCTGCCGCCGCTCCGCGTCAGATGGTCTGTCAGCTTGTCTGTCACCGCGTCGAGACCTGCGCCAGATAGTCTGTCAACTTGTCTGTCTCCGAGCCGGGACCTGCGCCAGATGGTCTGTCAGCTCGTCTGTCACCGAGCCGGCACCTGCACTAGTTACTAGGCTGCCCTGCGGCTGGAACAATGTCCAGTGCAATCAGTTGTCGCTAGTTTTGAACATGCCGATGTTAGATGATAGCCCAGTCGGTAATTTTAATCAAGTTGGCATATAATGGAGCAGCATATTCCACGAGCTCTTCAGTGACGCGCGGTCGAGCACGACGTTACGCTGTACCGCGCAGTGTTGCACGATGATGGGGCGTGTCGACCGAAGTTTTCACTCCGTGGAGGTGCCAGGAGCTCAGCCGAACCCTTTTTCGTCATGACTAGAAACATTCGCCGGCATTCTCATTTGATTACCTAGCCAGCACGAGTCTTCAAGTCTAAGTCGCATGGTAAACGTCCATTGACGCCTGCACGAGACAAGGCGGACTTCGACGGATGCTTCCGCACCTGAAATTGAACACGCACTCGGGCGGGAGCAATCTGACGGCCGCTCGAACTTTTTCAAAGTACCGTCCGAACGGCTTGGCGTAGTCACGTCAAACTTGGTGACAACTTTAGATTGACCTTGTAAGGTCACTGACCTATGGATTCTTAAAGTCGGGCCATGACTGTCAGCGAGGGTGATCCCAGGGGGGTCTTCCGGTCTGGTGCGATAAAGGAGTGTTAGACGAGGCCATCCACCTTCAAAGATGGTTTCTCAGAGAAAAATAGTTGTGATTGCGACTCATTTCCATTGACCTTGAGTCACGCGTAGAGGTCAGACCGAGGTCAAAGAGGAAACCACTTTGTACTGAGGCGCATGCTTTATGAGGTTGTTTTGGACGCTCGCTTAGAGTGTTGTATCACAGGGACGTTAATAAACCTGCTATTTGGACTCCATGGCGGTCAGAGGAGGTCGCAGACCTTAAAGACCAGATCATCTTTTCCGTTCAGAAGAACCTACCGCTAAGCGTAGTCCCACACGCTCTTTGAAATTTGAATAAAAAATTGCTATTTTTGGTCGCCTTGGTCGCCTAAGATCACTTCAGGTCACATAAAATCATTGCACCGCACCGAACACCAGTGATATTATGCTTAGAAGATATGTGTAGGTTAAAGTTGGCTACATGGAGAGGTCTAAGAGTATGTCGAACATCATTCGAGAGTTTGACCTTATTTGACCTTATTTGACACGACGGTCATGACCTAATTGCCTCACAATTTGTCAAAAGTGAGTTCAAGTGCAGGCTTTCCTGCACTGTGAAGTTTGTGTCTCTAGCTCTCATAGGTTTTGGGATCTCAGAGTGTCTAATTAACCTCTCACCGAAGCGCATCGCATGCAGCTGGCCGCCCGGGCGCTTGCTAAAGCGCTGCAAGGAAGACAAGTTTGCCCAACCCGAACCTAACCGCCCGCCGATTCCTGCCGCTCATTTCAGAGACCAAGTTGCCAGGAATCAACACAGTTGTCGAGCCTATACTTGCTTTGCTGCTGTACTATCGAGGCTGAAGGGGACAGGGGTGGCTGAAAGCTAAGAAGTTCTGAGATTGCTGCGGGTGACGTGCGCTCTGAGGTGACCTGATTTTCGTTGTGCTCGACTCCTCCTGATACAAACGCGCTTCTGGATCGTGGGTCAAATCCGGAACTGAGTCCATCGAGCGTGGTGTAGGGTGCCTTCGTTCAAGGCGTTCAGATGTAGAAGCGAGGTGCGAGTCGTTTTACTGCCCGCGGGCGTGGAGACAAAAACGCCGCGTCACAATGGCACCGATGTCTGGGGCCGTCCCGTCACATCGTCTACATGCAATTTTCATCCGCGGTCTTCCAATGCCGTGCATAATTTGAGCGCGCGGACGCGTCGCCGGGCGCGGCGGAGCGGGCGTGGACGTCCCCGCAGACCCGGGCTCCGTTTCCAGCGTGCTAGCCCGCTCAAGGATGCAGCGTCGATCGATGGCGAACGAGTGGCCCGAACTGCGTGGTCGTTTGGGGTCATTTGTAGCGCTTGAAACTCGGGCGGCGGAAGATGAATCCCCCTTCTCGCGGTGGTACAGATCCTTTCGTGCCTTCTTACCGCGACGCTGGGGCGTTGTTCCGATGCCATGCGTCACATGACGTGGCACCATGCTGATGAGACGGGGATGTTTCCCAAGCCAGCGAGGTCTGGTAAGACCGGACGGTAGTGCTCCACCTCGACCGCCGTCGGAACCACCTCGACCGCCGTCGTGTCCCACCTCGCCGTCGGAATCACCTCGACCGCCGTCGGAACAGGTCGCTGAGCCCGCGAGCAGCTCCACGTTTTAATCACGAAGTTTATTGAAGACTGCGATTCGGAGGGCGTCGAAGGTAGCAAAAACGATGACGATAACGATGGTACCTGATAAACGATGGTAAACGATGATGCCTGCAGCGAACCGAGGCATTCACCCACCGGAAATTGCCGCGACGTATGCATTTCTAGCGTGGATTACCGAGGAAAATTTAAAAGGGCTTGCGGTTGTGCGATAAGAAAAGTGTGGGTCACCCCACAACCCTATGCCTGGGTTATGAGGCCTGGCATGGGTCTGATAAGCGCAGTTTGAACCACCGCCTCGGAGAAATCAATGCATGGCAATGTCGTAGAGTTTAATGAGAGACGAGTGAATGAGAAGCGTGTCGGTTGACTTTTGCCGTCGGTTGACACTTGCTGAACGCCGGTGAGCTACGCTCCATCTTTTTCAGGCGTCGAGATGGCCGTGGGTTGTGGCGCAAAATGCGCCAAAACTCTGCTGGTCGTCTGCAATCTGATCTTCTGGGTGAGTTTTCGCCAAGCCCCACTGTCTGAAGGCTTTCTCAGGACTGTCCCTGACATCGTTGGCAAGCGTGGGGTTCCTGGGCATGAAGGCTGGCCCAATGCCAGAAGTGATATCAGGAGTTACGAGACTCGGATAATTACTCTTGATAAGCTCATTAAGGTATCAGGGGTGCCTGGCCATGTGCTCCATGGCTGAATTTAATCACCCACGTTAGCAACCTGTTGTCCCGGCCGGCGCCCATATCCGCGACTCGTGAAGAGAACATCCGTCTACACTGACCGTGAATTTATTGATTTCCCGTCCTCCCCAACAGGTGGCAGGCGTGGCGCTGTTAGGCTTGGGTATTTGGATCCACGTCGATCAAGGCAAGAATCATCTGTATAATCTTGTTACCATCGACACCGTTGGACCCGATGCTGTCGCCCATTTCAAGTACTTTCTCATCGGTAAGTAATCGCTCTCAGCATTGCCCTGCTGCTCATTTTTCTCCCGTGTTTAGTAGCCACATATGCGTTGAGGTTTTTGCGAACAGTGATTACTTTTTTTGGTAATCCTCGAAATACATTGCGAACTGTCATCAAATTGGAACTGTCACGTTTCCAGCCAAATCCAGTATTTTCTGGTGGCTGATGTTCACCCTCCGGCGCGATTGTGCACTCCTTATCAAGCGTGTGATCTTTGTCTGAAATCCGACATGTGTGGGATAAGATCGCAGTGCATTTACATAGCGTAGCGAATCACATATTTTCATGACAAAGCAAATTTTTGGACACTTTGGAGGCAAGCATTAGGTACGATACGATAAGCTCATTCTTAACTATTTATATGCTTATAAGTGGAAGAGATTGTTCTATATAACATGAATTTTCTTCTAAGTAAATAAGCTCCTCAATACGCCATTATTTTGTTGCGTCATGGTAGCCTGCACAACATTGATTAAGAGCCAATTGATGATCATTACATTTGGAAGTCGTGCTCATCGAGCGCCAGATATGAGCGACTCGACAATTATATTTGCCTTGGCCTTGATCCCAGCATGAGTAACGAAATGACCGGTTTAAATGAGGTTGTCATGGCGTCATGCATGTCTGGGTGACCTTCAAAAAGTCCACGAAATCGGGGGCGTGTACCTCACATATTTGCCGGCGTTTACCTGAGACACTAGACGGGTTTCAAATATATGGAAGGGTAGAGTCGTGACCTACACCGAATGGTATTTAGGATGACTTTTTCAGTTTGAGCCCCATGCAAACGCGCAACACTGCCTTTAAATTATGTATGTGGGGTTCTTTCCAGCGATATGGGTACTTCTGTTCCCTACCTCCTGTTTGCCTACCACCCTGTGTGTATGCGGGCAGGTCTGGGGGGCGTGGCCGCGCTGGTGGCCCTGCTCGGCTGTTGTGGCGCCTGCAAGGAGAACAAATGCATGCTGGGAACGGTAAGAACCGGCCAATCAGCGCCGCGCGGCCGGTGCGCCTTGTGGACCTGACCTCATGCGCTGGCACCAGCACAGCTGCAGCGTGCAAAAGAAGCTGCCGTGAAGGAAGTCCTATTGTAGGCCTGTGGGCCGTGTCTGGGTAGCAACGTGCTCGCCTCGTCAGGCCTCACGTGTCATATCATGTGGCTTCAATGTTCTGTGCTAGTGTTGCTGCTTGGATTATGGGGCAATGAACACCTTCGCCACGGGGCTGCCTGTCACATACGGTGCTGTTGATTGTTGCCTGCGTTTCTGATGGTGTTAACTTGTCCATCTCCATGATGTGGCGTGGGCCCTCGGCTGAAGTGTTTCCAGCTTCCTAAGCGAGGTCGTGCCTGCTGTCGCCGTCGACTTCTGTGACGTTTCCGATGACGTCACTCCGCCCACTTGACAGCACTTCTTCTGCCTGCTGCTGGTGTTCCTGGTGTTCGCGGCGCTCGGCATCCTGGCCGTGACGTCACAGGCCACCCTGATCAGCAACGTGGAGGGGCAGCTGCAGAGCCGCTTGCGCATGAAGTACAACCAGACCGATCATGGCTTGTTCTCAGTGGCCATCGACTTCGTCCAAGTGGAGGTGAGCAGCTGCTGCGGCTGCGCCCGTCACGGCGGGCAAGGGAGGGGGCTCCCACTGTGGCCACCGCCCGACCTGTGGCGGTGCCCTGGCGCTCTCAATGTGACTCAGATGTGGAAGGGGATCCTCCGCAAGGCTGAGAGAAGCGTGGTGTGCAGCAGCAGCGGGCCCGCACGACCCAATCGGTGTTGTTAACAATAAGCTGTAGTGTTGTTGCTTGCTGACGGCGTAGGATTACTTTCGGTGCGATGGAATGGCGCAGAAAAAGAACCAGAAAACCAGAAAAATTTCATCGTCCTCGGTGGACTGAGATGGCTCAGCACATAATCAATAGCTTAGTTTTGGTTGAAAATTGTCGTAACCCATAAGCGCCATTGTGTAATTTGCCTGCAATCGTCTGTAGGACATTGTGAACATCGTCTTTATCACTTCGTTTTTTTCTCTTGCATGTACCGAGTATGATATGACATATATTGTTTGCTCTTTACAGCATAAATGCTGCGGAATTCGGGGATCCAGCGACTTCTTCAACTCAAAGTGGCGAAACTCTAGTTTTGCCAAGACCCCGGACGTGAAGGAGGTCCCCAATACGTGCTGCGTGCTCAAGAATGAAAATGTGAGCTATGCAATGTCAGATATTGCAAAGGAAACACGTGAAAAAACAGGCAAAGTGCCTATTTGAGTTGCTACCTATGGTATCGCAAGTACCTACGTCATACATAAGCGACCTAACATCCAAGCCGCAGGAGCTGTTGTGACACACTTACCTCTGCGTCATATGTTGCAACTTGTGGACAGTTGTTGGTGATGGGGATGGCGGCCCTGGTGGTGGCCCTTTCCTTGTGACTCTGGACCGCACCTGGTGATCGGTGTGCGTGGCCCGAGATCGGCCGCCGGTGTCACGTGACCCTGAGCCGTGGCCCCGCATCACGTGACCTTGAGCCGTGACCTTCGACACGTGACCCCGCCCCCGCCCCAGGACACGGCTGCGTTCCTGCACCCGCGGCCCAAGAATTCACAGCTCTGCCAGTCGTCCGACCCGAGGAAGTACGGAGGCCAGCAGGACGGCGGTCCGTTCCGATACGAAACGGTACGGACCGGCACGAGGGGGCACCACCGGGTTCCGTGGGGGCAGCACTGTTACCAGCCGTCAACGCAGGCTGGTGGACGTAGGCAGCCAAGGAAGGCAGCTGGGGCGGCTTGTTCCCGTGGGTGACCGGTTTCAAGAGCTGTCGATGGAGACAGCTGTTCTCCCGTACAATTTGGCTGCCATGATACATTGAGACAAGAGTAGTTATTTATGCCACTTTGTTTTAACGAGATAATTTTGACGCGCGATGGGTCAAATGGAATCATGGCGCGTTGCTGGGATCGTGCTGGCTGCGTTGCCTGGTGGTGTCGCATTATCCTGTGTCCAGATAAAACGTTCATGGTTGTATTCCTTTAAAGCGATTCCGAATCCAATCAGGACTCTTGGTGGGTGAGGTGGATTCCATCACCGGTCATCAGGGACGTTTCGCAGTTCTGGGTCAGTTGTATGTTTACTTTCGGCTGTAAGCTATTCGTCAGATCAGCAGGATCAGCCAAGTCGCTTAAGCTTGTGAGGCCACGGCTGGCTAAAAAGCGGCGTAACCTTAAACCAAGCTGTGACCTTAAAGCTGAAATCAGTTCCCTCTGAATCCCTTCCACTTGCATGAACGCCTTGCTCACCGCATTTCAAAGGATGAAGCCTGTGTTCTCGTAAGACGGTATATTCGTGATGAGTTTTGCGCATCACCCCGACCCGAGGTAGGTGGTGAGCTGGCCGCTTGTAGCACTGAAGCCGTCCTGCAAACCCGACAGATGGCAGACAAAGTATACGTTTTGCAGCTGCTTTCGAGCCCGATGGACACAATATTCGGACGCGGTGGATGCGGTTTTGAAATAACCTGCCGAACGTATCGCAGCGACCACCTTATTTTTCAATCCCTTCTCTGGCTCCCCCAAACAGAAGTCCCTCGGCCAAAATGCCACTGGTTTCAACTTAACTATTTTACACGATACTCTTGGCGCTGGGCCTTCCAACCACAGTTGGTTAGAGCTGGGTGGTGTAGGTGGACCCGTCTGCGGGCTGGCTGATGCGCATGTGTCCCTGTGTTTACAGCTGTGTTGACCGTTGTCGTCAATACGGCAGACGGTCTGTCCGTCCTCATTTCGGAGTTCATTTCAACTGTTTTTCGAGTTGAAATGACGATACTCATGATGGTCTCGAGATGTTCTCTAGATGCTCTCTATAAGACTAGCACTAGCCCCGTGATGCCTCTTATTAATGGTGACTCCTCGTCGCGCGTTGTATGTTACGCCCTTCTTGTGCACAATGCAGGCCGCTGTAGGGCCCCACCGGCTACAGCCGCTGCTCTCTGCTGACGGTGCTCACTCATTCGACTCGCTGCTGACCGTGCTCACTTTAGACCTGTTCGCTGCCGACGGCGCCCACTCGACTCGCTGCTGATCACGCTCGCTGCTGACCGTGCTCACCGCTGACGGTGCTCGCTGCTGACGGTGCTCACTGCTGACGGTGCTCGCTGTTGACGACGCTCGCTGCTGACTGCTCGTCGCTGACCGTGCTCGCTGCTGACTGTGTTCGCCGCTGACCGTGTTCGCCGCTGATCGTGCTCGTCTCCGGCGGTGCTCACTGCTGACTGTGCTCGCTACTGAGGTTGCTCACCGCTGACGGTGCTCTCCATCGGCAGGGCTGCATGGTGCGGATCCGGCACTGGTTCCAGACGGAGACCACCATGATACTGTGCGGAGCGTTGGGCGTGGCTGGACTACTGGTGAGCACAGACGGGACAGCGCGCCGCCAAGCGCTCCCCCCCCCCCCCCCCCAACCCATCGTGGGGCGTGTGCCGTTCCCGACCCAGCCAGTGTGGGGCGTGTGCCGTTCCCCACCCAGCCAGTGTAGGGCGTGTGCCGTTCCCGACCTAGCCAGTGCGGGGCGTGTGCTAATGATATCAGTTTCATTATTAAGCTACGGTCAGTCTGCAGACCACAGCTTTTTATTCTTGGAATAGCGACTCTCCAACCCTCTCACGTTCAACTTCCTGACTCCCTTCATCAGCTGCGCCCTCTTACCCTGCTGCCATACCTGACTTCCAGAACGAAACAAAAAGATTCCGATGAGAAGTCCAGTTTGGATTATTTCGTTGAGCGGGCTTTGCCACATTGCATCTCTCAGTGGACTGCTATGTCTGTACCGGTTTAGGCCGCAGCATTTAAGGCAGATTTCGGGAAAGGGTGACGTTGTGACGTCCTGGTTTGCCACATGCGTACCTTCGGGTTAAATAGTGCTTAGGTCGTTCCGTGGTTTGTAGACGGTACGTCCGCCGACATCATGCAACAGCGCGAGATCTAGCTGCCCATACCTAACATCAGCCCGAGCAATCTTGGATATGGGTCCCAATCCATGGTCTAAATGAGTGACGGATTTGGCTGGATTTTGCTTGACAGTCTGCGCTCATTAACTCACACTATTGGCGATGTGATTGCTCGTTTTCTCCGTCAGCATCAATTAGTATCATGTCAATGTAGCCGCACATTGGAAAATTCTGCGTTTCCTACGTTTACCCAACGGGGAAGTTAAATGTTAGTGCCATTACAACCAAATAATTATAAGCCACTTGCTCAGATCACTCGTATGTAAGTGTCCCGCACTCATTACGGCACAACTCTTAACAAAAGACATAACACACCTTGATAAGAGAGTAGAAATAGCCTTATTCCTCGGAGAAACGCCAGGAAAACGGAGAAATAGATTGTTTGATATTTCGGCAGCATGCCTTTCTCCTGGTTTTTCTTCAAGTAATGAAGCTATTACTACCGTCTTATCTATGTAAATAATGTTCTTCGCGAATGCACTGAACAACTTATACAGCGCACTTCCTCTACGGAAGTGTGTTATATCTTTCCCTGACTAGTTCAAAAAGTTTCTGTTTGAATAACGGCCGTGTAACATTATGATTGTTTCGTTCCAGATATTCGGCATGCTGTTCACCATCTGCTTGTGTAGAAACGTCGACGAGGAGCAAACTGCCTGAGTGAGAGGGTAGACCCAGTGACGAAAAGCAAACGTGGGTTTCTAGAGGCCACTAAGCTGGCTAATGTGGCCTAATTTGTACACAAACGTGGTTGAGAGCTAATGCTGGTTTCCGTTCAGTTGCCGTTTTGATATGAAGGTAAATACTCTGAAGCAGATGAGTTGCGCTGAACCGTGAAATATTTTCCACGAAATCTTGATCTCTTGTTTTAGGTCGTGCTCATTTGGTTGAGATGCATCATCTCTTGGCCGTTTTGGAGCATATCTGAACACGGAAGTCCAACATGAAATGCACTGAAAATAGCAGGCTGCTTTACAAAGATGCAATGTTTTAAATCTGCAATCAATTGATGTACTTCGGTGAATTGATTAGTCAGGGTCTCTTTTTGATGAAATTTCTTGACAGTTCACAACTATGTTTCCTAGAACTTCATTGCCTGCGTTATTCATGTTTCTAGATTCTTGGGTTTTGTTCGCTCCCTGTTCATTTACCTTCCAGGCATGCCGTTTAGATCGGAGGTTTTGAGATTTGTTTTTGCCGCCGCGCCTCCAGCCAACAGCGTGTTTGTATCGAAATGCGCACGCGACGCTGAAGCCACGTGAGTTTAGTGGCACTGTGTGCAGGTTGAGTCAGATCAGCGGTCATTTCGAGCTGTTTTCGCCATTTGCTGTGTAAGAAATTCCAATATCCTTGTTAGACCGTAGGTACAAGTGAATCAAATGACTTAAAGTATGAACGACCACGTGATGCGCGATCTTGCTCTGTCTTGCCCGCTTGTTTGTGTATAAAGATTGGAAAAGTGTAAAATGTTGCACTTGTACTGTGTGGAATGTGACGCGTCCTAATTTTTACCGACGATGACTTTGAGAGCTTTGAGAGCGAGCGTTTGACTCTGCGCCCAACGTTATTACTTAAGGCAGATCCTTTACGAACCGAGCTTACACAAATGCACATTGCTTTGTACCGGTGAAATGCCGGCACATTCAAACTTTTTTATTTCGACTTAAGCACTGATTCTGTCGCCAGCCACAAATCCACTGCGGCGAGGTGTCTGTTGTGTGAGATCTTGGTCTTACCTGCAAAACAATTAGGCTACTCGAAACACCACATGTTTTGTTCATGCTGACCATGCGGGGCGTAGAATGAATGTTTTCACTATTATCCTGGATCCGAGGCGTTATAAGTTGAAAGATATTTACACCAGCTCCCATACGGCTTGTGCGTCAAAAGTTGTGCATGCGTTACGAACTGGCAATGTGTGTCTATCGTTGATGGAGCTGGATTCTTAATGGCTGCGTGGTGCTACTTTCCAAGGTTCAAACAGACCAGAAGTAATTAAAATTGAAGGGAACAGCCAAACAATCAGCTGATTACCTATCAAGCTCTGAGTCGTGGTTGGCTAGCTATGAAGTGCTGTCTAGAGTTGTCTAGATGCTCATCAATTATCGGTGACTGTGGTGCTTTAGCTTGGGTAGAGCGTAGCTAGGTGAATGTGTTAATTTTCGCTAGCTCGGAGGTGATGTGCATTATCATGTCAGCGAGATGTGTTGACTGTGAACTCGTGGTGTCAATCATATGTGTCGGGGCGTTTGCCCCGCACCCTTTTCTCTGCATGACGTTCTCGAAACCTGGCGCGAGCCAGCACGTTTTATATTTGTTATCGGTTTAAGTGTCGCCGAGAACGGCATGGGAGCCACACGCTCCAGTGTCTATTGCTGTTGGACACGCCATTGGATGCTAGTCTGCGGTCAGTGGGTGCTGATTTTGAGATGTCAGTTTTCCGTCACACGGACGCCCGCCATGTATCTGTCACCTGCAGTATGGGTGCCTTTTCGCGGCGAGTTCTGGATTGGTCGACATCGTCGTCAGCTGAATTTAGAAAGCTTCTAGGTGCGTCGCCGTTATGATTTCAAGATCCTAGCTCATCACAACCCCGCGTGCGTGGTTCATGACGTTAGGAGCAGTGTTTTCAAGCTAAGCCAGTGGGACTGTCAGCCGTGCGCGGTGTATTTAGAGACCTTCGTCGGGCATTGCTTCTACTCTTTGATCACTTCTCGCTGTAGACGGAAATAGAATGACGCCGGCTTCCGTGTTCATGACTTTCACTGCCATCTGTTGTTACCGTTTTACGTGGTCGGTAAATGTGGAAAATATGACATCGAAGCGGGATTTGGATAGTTTCCTGTGATGCGTCTACATTCAATCACGATAACAATCAACTTACACGGAAAATGCGGTACCCCTTGAAGCACTGCTATGGGCCTGTCAGCTGGCGCTGCAGCATGCTTGTCGGTCAAAGGCACCCACTCCATTCAATTGGCCTGCTGACAGTGCATTACTTAACGCTGACGAGCCGGCCGCAGCGGCGATGTACAGTTACGATGACCAACTAAAAAAAACATTGTGTGCGGTGGGTACCACCGTACCCACGCGGACTCACTGCGGGAGCACCATAGCCCGGCAGCGCAAATCGGTCGCCGGGTGACATTGCCTTTTTACTTTATGGGGCATCCGAAGGCGCATTACTAAATGCGGCTAGCCGGACTGTAGTGTAACAGACAAAACGCCGTATCCCGCGAAAAGGCCTAAAATCACGAAAGAAGACTGCAATCGCGTGCATTTTATATCTCCGCTGTAGGGTTGTCAGTTAGCACTGCAGCACGTTTGTCGGGAGAAGGCATACATTTTTAACGGGTGACACCACTGGCGGCGCACCAATCAATGCTGATCGCACGGCTGCAGCGGTGATTTGCAAAGGTGTGGCTGTGAATCGAAAACAGGTGTAATGTACGGCGAATGCCTGCCATGCATACGCTAGCGCTCTGGGGCAAACATCGGCCGGCGGCATAAATCTGCTGTGGGCGAAAAACAACTACCTTCTTCGTGAGGCTACTCCTACGTTCTACGTTCTACGTTGTTCTACGTTCTACGTTCTACGTTGTTCTACGTTCTACGTTCTACGTTGTTCTACGTTCTACGTTCTACGGTCTACGTTCTACGTTGCTCTGAATGCGCCCGGCCGGTCGCTAACGTGGTGTCCAGCTTACGGTAACTCGGGAGAAACACTTCTGATCGCGTGCGAAGAGTGAGATAATGCACTCGCGATAACACTGCTCTAGTGCTATCAGCGGCACTGGAACATGCTTGTCCGTCGAAGGCGCCTATGTCATTTGATGGACCGCCTCACTAAGCAAAACACAATGCTGGTGGCCGGAGACAACAGCGATTTGTAAAGTTACGGCCGTCGGTCAAAAACATATATTGTCGTGCGGAGCGATTGCAACCATGTGCACACGATATCGCTGTAGGCTATCGGCATTATTATATTTGTTATATATTATTATTATATTTATTATATATCACTATCGGCCGGCAAGACGAATCGGTTGCCAGCAGATAGCACTTATTTTGTTCACGTGAGCCCCTGAAGACACTAAATGTCGCCGGGCGACTGTCAGCCTAATGGTCCATGCACGCCAGCCTGGGAGAAACATTCGAAACCGCAGGAAAATAGTGTAACTCTGCATTGGATGGCACTTCATGAAGGCTGACACCGGAGCCTGCTTGCCCGTCGAAACGAGCTCCATGCATTTGGTTGCCCCCCTGAAGGCGAATACTTAATATACTAAAGTGACGCTAGCATATTAAGAATGCACATACTAGCGGGACGCTTGCAAGGTTACGGTTGGTACTTGTTTAGACAAGTTTGTACTTATTGTCGCGCACGGCGGGCGCGCCAGTGCGCATACGATAACACGGCCCGACGGCTATGGGCCGGCAACATAAAGTGTTTGTTGTTACAACGCCTCTTTTGTTCATAAAATCCCAGACAATGTACCAATAGATGCACCCTGACGGCACTAACGGCCAGAGCATCATCGGAGCACTATCACTGTAGAGCCAGAGCACCATCGGAGTCAGGGAGCTAGAATCGCTTTTGAGTTGGGGTAAGGAGTGAAAAATTACGCCTAAAAAAGAGCACATAGGAGTGAAAAATTCACTAAAAAAGCTCATGAACTTATGAGCTAGTATGATATGGCCCGTCTAACAGACGCACACCTTTTGAATTGCCAGGGATGTAGCATCATAAACATGAAAAAGTTGTATTACACCTTGAGGGATTGCGTTGACCCATAATACATTACAGAGCATTAAACTCACAGTGTGCTGAGCACCGAGAACGTTGCGTCTTACGACAATGTCTGACTGGTTGTCGAGTTAATATTGCTGTTGAGGAAAAACAGGTGACCTGCGCGATGGCTCTGCATCACATTGGATGGGTAAAGCCGAGCACTCACGTTGTGTCAGCCTCATCGGGTCTATGCGCTCGCCACAGGTACCCGTTAGTGGCAGATACCGAAATTTTTCTGTGTGCCCACGTGGCATATGCAATAGGGCAGTGTGATATGGAGAAAAAACATTCGATATTGCCTGCTGACAACCGCGATGAGCACTTGAGCATTGGATGCCGGTGATCCGTGCGTTCCTGCGCCATTCATGGGTGTGTTTAAAGCACACGCCCAGAGTACTTGTCGGCATGCAGGTCGGGTAGCGGGCAATTGCCGCCCCATATGGTGGTGTGGTATATCTTGCTTCATGACAGGGTACGTACAGCCGTACACGGCTGGCCAGCAGGCGCATTGTAAAATACATGCAAAGTTTGCCATATTTTGATGTTGGGATGTTTGCTTGTTAAAGCGTTAGCGCGTCCAAGTATGGCGATGGCGGCTTTGGCGATCCAAGTATCCAAGTATGGATCAAATGGCGGCTTTGATGGATGCACTTGCGAACGGCATTATCTGGCCCACGCTCAGTACTCTGCTATGCGTTGCATTCTAGCGGGAAAAGGCACCAAATCTTGAGCATTGTTTTGTTTTCCCAATAACTCACGCTCCATCTCTCATTCTCTCCAGCTTCCAAGCTCACTCACACCATGAATGTAACAACGCACCTGCTAAGCTACGCTATGATGACCACGCACAAGAAATACACATTCATACGGATGATGATTGCACGCGATGATCAATCGCCGCGGTCATTGATCGACTCTTGAGATTCATTTCTCGGGTTCATGGTTTCCTAAAATAACTAACCCCGTTCGGGAATCGATTCACCTGTATGTCGAAGACAACCTAAATAACTTTTGCAAATGACAGTTTTAGATCATTCATTCCAGCAAAAGACAGAAAAACGCGATGAAATCGTAAAATTTTGTAGGACTTGCCGAATTTGGCCTGCAACGCCACGTTTCATCGTTCCTGACTAGTCAGTGACCGTCGGATGAATTTATGTGAGGTTTTGGACCTCTAGCGTGAACTAAACATAAATTTCAGGCGTTTGCCTTCCAGTTTGAGCCGCTGGACGGTCAAGGACTGGTCAGCAGCCTTCTTTTTTAGAGCGTGCCGGTGCCGGCTTAGCCACCGATCCGTGCACCTCTTTGCCGGGAAGAACCGAAGGGGGATCTGGTTCTCCCTTATGAAGATTTCCTTCATAGCACGATCTTGGCCGTTGCTCCTCAAGCCATCGTGTTTTCCCCCAAAGCGGCCTTCTACAACACATTTTGACGCTTTACCAACCCTTTCAGTGTCAGCCTGAGACCGGCTGAGCACTAGACATATTTCAACTAACTCGGCGATATCCGGAACATTTGCGTGCAGATCTGTCACAGGTCGCAAAAATGATCGGAGCGCCGCCTCCGGCAGCCAGCGGACGACACCGCTGCGTGTCGGCAGCCACTCGTCTCCGAACCGCTCTCGCTCCGCCACCACTCTACGCTTGAACTCCCTGAACTGCCACAGGAGGCACGCACACCTCGGTCCCAGGCACGGGACACTGCACGGCCTGGGAAGAGTCAGGGGTCCGTCACACAGTCGAGTCACGAGGTCGACTAGCTTGTCGTTCGCGTAAGTCTCTAGGTCCGTTTTGTTGGTCGGACAGCGCGCGAAGTCGAAAATCTCGGTCCTGAAATCCTCGACGTCAGTTTGCCCTAGATATTTCTCAAGGTCTGGGAGTGCAAGGAGTGTCTGCGCAAGCTCACGCCGTCGGTAAGTCACTTCACGTAGGATGTCGGTGGACGCGTCAGGCGGGTGTGCGTCAGAGGGTTGCCTGCGACTCACCTGTGCCCGACTGCCACGCAAAGCAGCGCTGACGACCGCAGGTCCGTCCTCCTCTCGACGACCCTGGAAGTCAGCGTCAATCAGCTTTGTCATGTTCTGTCGGAACCGGTGCACAGCCACCTTGTCGTCAAACACCGTGCATGTCGCGGCCTAACCAGCTTTACTAAGCGTGGCAGCGGGCGCATGATGTCGAGCACTGCCAGTGCATTGGTAAGGAACCTGGCGTCCTGAAGGGAATTTAGGGCTGATTTGGCATTGTTTTTGTCGATGTCACCGCTCGCAATGCCATCCTTGAGCACTGCCGAGGCCGCATCGCGGTTCGTCAAAACTCGTTCAATGGCCTCCATCGAGTGCGCCACGAATCGCGTCTCAATAAGGCGCTGAAAGGCCACACATGGCAGGTCCAAGTCTTCAGCTGTCCGTCCAGTTTGTCGTTCCAGTTTTGGCGAAGCCGTGAACACGGTTATATTCGAATTTAGTTGCTGGGAAAAAATCCTCCGCCCACGCGCATGTCTGATGGTGCTTAATTTTGTCCAGGAGAGACTCCAGCCAGTGCGGCCGGCCACTGAGGTGCATGAACGATGGATGCCCATGCAGCTCTCTCCAGATGCGGCCGAGGCCACTGATTGGTCCCGAGTACACGGCCTCACAGTCCGGAGAAGCAGAGAGCACTTGACGCCCAATATCGTCCATTGTCAGTCCCAAGTCGTTGTTAAGGTAGTCAGTCACGTGAGCGAGCACACCCCGCCCGTTGGTCTCGTTGCATCCAGTGACTGCATCACGCTGCCGCGGCGGGAGGGTGGCTGTGCAGATGGGAACGGGGTCAGGATACGGTCTCACCACTGCGGTCGTCCCGTGAACTACCACAGTGTTGCCGTCGGTGCCAAGAAGTCGCAAGCTCACGGCCTGTAGCGTCACGCCAGCCACTGTGACCTTGTCCATGGTCAAGTGCATGTGCCGGGCACGTCCAGTCACAGGGTTTGGCGTCCTGATGTGCTTCTTCAGCTCGTCTCTGAAAACGTCATAAATCACGTCCACAGGCTGGGCAGCAGC